TCAAAAGAACCGCTGTAGCTGCCTCGTTATTAATTTAAAACTTTTCTTTGCGAGAGTAGTATATGCATCCATTAGCTAAAGCTTTCGCAGCTGCAAAACGTTCCCAATGTGGACTTTTGCTTTTATTGGGTTCTGAAATTTTTGTCGGTATAATATCTTAGACATATTCTAGGTATCATCCTCAACTTTCGTCTCTGACAAACGTCTGCTCTGTGTAAACCCATAAGCCTCGCAACCGTGCCTACCTTCGTTCACCAACTCTAAACATACATTACTTGATTCATCTGTCAGCTTCCTCCTTCATACCTCAGTATTCATCACCATTTTCTGATATAGCGCGCATTTCTTCTTATTGTTTGCCTTCACCGTCTAAATTGTGTTTGGCCTGTTTGATATGCATCTAGGGACAGAGCAACGACGGCCTGCTCTTCAGTCGTTGCATTCCTGCTGAGTTGATTTCTTTTTGCTGCAAACCATGTCATCATCGAGCAATGCTTATTACAATTTCTAGCTTTCGAAGATTTATCTACTTCTACGAAGGTTGTTCAGATGATTGCACATGATGACCGTTGCATCACAGCGCGTTGTCAAGTTGGGTTCACTTGAGCAGCCAGAAAAATCAGACGTTTCTGAAAATTAGCGGGTAATGACGAAAATGACAGTCGGTTTGATTTGCAGCGCCATTAATAATTTGCTGTCACTCGTTTTGAGAGCAGATATGATCGCATGGTGCGTAAATTATTTTCTTGCCGAGAGTATGGAATGTGGTAGCGGTAGAAATTAAAATGTTTAAGTCCCAAAAAGTTGCACAAGCCTCCAACAGTAGCGAATTTGCATTAGTCTTCTGCACATTTACGTTTGCAAATTCAATCAGTCTGAGCTTTAAAAGTCCGCACATCTGGTCACTTTCTCGGTTTAAAGACCAAGAGATGGTTAATTAAATATTTAAATGGCGTTCTCAACTTGATGATTTCAATACCGTTTCATTGACAGAAGTCTGAGTTACACAATGTGCCATTGTTTGAATTCGAAACCCAATAACGAAAAGCAGTTAAGAAAATTTTCTTGCATTTCTGCAATAACATTTTTCCATAAATTCATTTTGTTTGTTAACCAATGTCTGGTTCTTGCCTTATCCTTTGTATATCAGTCTTTTTTCGCATGCTAATGGCCCTCTGATACAATTTTTCACCACGTCAAGATGAATAAATAGGCTCGTAATTCTGACGACAGGCTATTGTAGGTATCAAGTATGACGATAACAGGTTTGAAGAAATACCAAGATAGTTAGAAAAGAATACTCACGATGCATTTTACTAAACATCAAGCGCGAGTTGCATCAGAGGCGATAGTCGTGCAGAAACCTGGAAATGCTGTAAAACAGCCATTGTACTTGATTCAAGAAGTCACTATCATTATCTGAACAGTAACAATTTGATTGAAGTATTGCTGAAAACATGAGCTCGTGCTTTGTAATCTCTGGCTAATTTTTTTCGTGGCATCAATGATGTCCTGACTGTCATTAATTCATAGGCACACGCAACATTCTCTTTCAGCTGCTTGTGCCGTTACATTTCCGTTTTTCCTAATGTAGTAAAGCTTCTGGTCAATAAAACATTCGGTAAGCTTTCCTAAGAGAATGCAGTTGTTTCGTGGCCAAGGCATATGCCGTTCATGGATGGCTAATAATTACCTTGTCGTTTTCCAATGAAAGGCTACTGTTTGAGGGTACTATTTAAGATTACTTGAGAAAGATTAAGGAACCCTTTGAAGCATACATAATTTTCAGGGCGAGTTTTGAATGAGCGATGACTAATCATATACAGCGTACTCAAATAAGTCCATAGATGAAAAAACCGAGTTCTCTCAGCAAACGATACATAACCCCTGAAAGTCGAGAGGAGTTTAGAACATCCTTCAGAATGCAGACGTTGTAGACTACCATTTTACAAGCTATGTAGTAGATTAGCTTTCGGATTCATTAACTTAATGGGCAGGTGAGATCTCTAAATTGCCACTTAATTGGGCAATGAAAGAAATCCGTGCCTGCTGAACTTCGAATCGAACGCTTCGGGTGTTTTTTTCTTTGGAGCACTAGCCGATCACTTCTTCATTATATATAGCAATGTTACAGAATTAAATTTTGTGATTCTTGCAATTGGCAATTTAGGATTTCGGTTGTGATTTTCTGATTGGTTCACAGACTAAGTTGGATGTATGCGGCGTATGTGGCGGTGATGGTTCAACATGCAAAGAAATACAGTATGCATGGAAAGAGACGGGACAGTTTTCTGAATGTTTACCAACGTGTGATGTGGCAGGTGAGTGCGGCTGTCGTTTGAGCACAGGCAGTTTAGTCGTTCATCGCTGCATTTGCGTAATTTTCAGGTTGGCAGGTGTCGCTATCGACGTGTGTCAGCGTTAAGTCAAATTTCACCGTACCAGATCACTTCTGCTTTGGCCAGGAACGGCCACGGCCATTGATCCAGCCATGTCCGTTCGTTCCATGTCCAGGAAAGTAAGTTGATCAACAAGTTATTTACGAAATTGCTTTGCGCGTAAACTTGGCATACACATACCCTCGGCACCGGATTAAAACATAGCACGTCACTCAGGTGCCTTTCGAAAAAAACAGATATCGTCTCGCGTTCTCGCGAGAGAGATCCAGTCGTAATCAGGGGCGGTCGATGCTCCTACGCTTGACTTACAGAGACGTGGCGCTATAACGCTCACCACATAGTACGCTCGAGCTTACTTATGTGGAGTGTCGAACGACGACCAACAGCCGCTTGACAAGTACGTAACCGCAACCGTTCTTCGGCTTCTTGGAAGGTTCTGTATAGCTCAGAAGACCGCTATTCACGCCGTCTTCATCGTGCGGCCAATCGTTGTCCACCAAACTGCTGCCGCTTCTACGATCAGTGCATCGATTGGCTGCGAGTTGCGAAGCGATATATGAAATATTGGAAGTTTCAGCCATTCCTGGTCGACGATCGGATCGAACTCGATCGAAGGGCGTAATGGAACAGCGCCTACCAATAATAAGCGATAACAATCTGTGCTAAGTACGTTTTCAAGTGATCTGCACTCATCTTCCATTATACACTTATACAATCCCTTAATCGCGCTTCCTTCCTCTGATCGCTCGCTTTCGCTCCTTCGGTCGTTCGCTCCCTCGCTCTCTCGCTTCTTCGCCTCGCCGCCTCTTCGACTGTTCGCATCTCGTTTCGTACTTGGCTCTATCGCCACTGAGCAGCATCACAGCACAATGCGGTACACGCGTCGAGGGGACCTCCTAACAGCCGTTTACCTTCTGTGCTTGCTTTTCATAGACGTACGTTCAACTGGCGAACACGATGATGACCTTATCAAAGACATCGGGTAAGTCGAACGAAGGCATGAACTGATTTTAGTTGACTGCGTTAGCATACTAGACGGCTGACGCGTGTTTCATAGGCGCCCCATAGTAACTATCTTCTGTGTCTGTTCCCTCTTCTTTGTCTTTCCTATTCTGATTCTTCGCAACATTAATCTAATTCATGACAAGCGGCTTCCTTTGAGAACTATCTTCACGTAAATGCTGCATTTCATTTGTGAGTAGATCCTCGATCCAAGATCGTTTTGCACTTGATTGTTTTCTTCCGTATAGCCAATATAATCGCAGGTGATATTATAAACTGCATGCATGGTCACTGAAACGCGGTACAGTTTGCAGTTTTCTGATCTTCTATGATACTAGCCTATTGCTTTTTTATGCTTTTGCATCATTCTCAAAAGATGTACAGACTAGCGACCTGAGAGATGAGTAAAAATGGTCTTTCTGGTTTTCGTTATCACGGGCCAAGGTGCATCACATTCGACCGAAGTACTGCAAAGTCTAAGTCTTTCAACCGTAGTTTCATTTGGCACTCCCTCCATTTCACTTCCTGCTACTCCATGTACACTCAAATTCGGGAAGCTCCCAACTCGGGTCATATTATGAGAGAAGAACGCAGTCATTGCTTTGTTATATTTGACAAGTTTTCAAGCTTCGCACTCTCTAAGACAATCGACTAACTTGTTTGGCCCTCCCTTCAGTGCGTATAAAATTCGCTGCATTTCACATCTCAGATGCTCAAATAAGTCTGATAT